TCCGTTTTATATGAATTCCATGTTGTACGAGTCACTTAGATTTTACAAATACGTGCCGGGCTGTGAACGGCTCACGTATTTGTAAAATCTAAGTGACTCGTACAACATGGAATTCATATAAAACGGAATTATCAACAGTGTTATCGGGGGGGGTCGACTGTACCACTGTTCGATGATTTTATCCACTCCATAGTATTATAAATGCTTCAATTTGTCGCTCTGGAGGATCCGGAATCCAGTTCGGGTAATCTAATGAATTTTTAAAAGTGAATTATTCTCCGTACGCATTTGATCTCATCGTTTTCCGTCTGGTTTCTACCATGGAACTCGCGACGGGCAAAGGCGTTCCATGATGCCAAAGCGGTTAAGGCGTCAGCCTACCGCTCTGGAAGACCCGAAAAATTCCAAAAAAATTTTCAAGGGCAATCCGTCCAGAATATGTCTCCATTCCTCACCACTCTGCCGCCTTCATTGTAAGCCTGCCGAATCCATTATGGGTATAGAAAAAAAAGTGCCCACATCGTCTTTGTGCCCGCAAGGCGGCGGCGAACAGCAAAACAAGCGACACTGAACAGAGTTTGAAATTTAAAAAGAGCGAAAATAGTTTAAAAATTAAAAATATTTATTAATTTAAAAAAAAATGGAAATAATAATTTCTTATCTAAAAACCATAATTTTTCCATAACGATAAAATTACTCAAAAATAAAAAATGAAATTTTTTTTTTTAAATAAAAAATCCGTATTGCCAATTACACCCGTCAGGTGGCGTTTGTTAATCTCTTAGCAACGGAAATAAACATGACATCTGTAGTTAGTGAATGTCTTCATCCATTATTTTGATCGAATATAATATAAAACCCGGAAAATATTTATTTTTCTATTTAAAATTCAGTAAAACCTTCATTAATAGTAAGTTTTTATTACAGTTTATGTTCTAAAATGTCTATTTTTTATTTCTAACGTAGATTATAATGCTAATACGTCATTAAATATGAATCATAAGTCAGATGTTGCTCGCCCCCCCCTCAAGTCGTAATTGTTGATAAATAAATGATTTAATACGTAATAAATTAGTAATTTTATATGTAAAGGAGCTGTTTTGAAGCTTATTAATTTAATAATTCAGTTGTAAAGTAGAATATTTAATGATAATTATTTGTTAGTTGTGTTATCTGTGTGTTATGAATGACCTCAATAGTTTCATTTAATCAGTATTGTGTTATGATGATGATGATGATAAAGCACACATCGAAGTATTTTCTACAGGATGATAAAGCACATTAATGCGTGCTTTACCATCATGTAGAATGTATAAAGTACATTCTACAGGATGATGATGATGATGATAGAGCACGCATTAAAGTACTTTCTACATGATGATAAAGTACATTATACATTCTACGTGATGATAGAGCACGCATTAAAGTACTTTCTACATGATGATAAAGTACATTATACATTCTACGTGATGATAAAGCATGCATTAAAGTACTTTCTACATGATGATAAAGCACATTATACATTCTATGTGATGATAAAGCGCATTAAAGTACTTTCTACATGATGATAAAGCACATTAAAGTACTTGATAAAGCACACATTAAACGTGGTGATAAAGCGTACATTTCTATGTGGTGAGGATGATGCATATTTACATTTACAATTTAGTTTAAATTCATGGTTTAGCTTATAAATACGCACTTGCAAGCCGAACTGTGATTGCGCGTGTCGATTGTCTGCGGATAGTGACCGAAGTGTAAGTTTCGAAGAGACTGTGTTGCTTGCGTAAGACATTTCTAAAGATTTTAGTAAAAAACACTGGTAAATGATAATGATATTAATATACTGGTCTGTTAATCTGACCGAAAACGTTTGAGAAGTTTTTTAAAATAGACTGCATTTTAAAGGTATTTAGAGTTTATTAATTGATTATAGTAATGCAGGTAGAGATATAATGATATTAATATACAGTGATACTTTGGTTTTTGTCGATAATCTGTCCGAAAACAATTGGCAAAATCCAAAACTGACAAAAACCGAGGCAATTATTTCCATATGAATCAATGTAAATCCAATTAATTTGTTCTAGACACTCCAAAATAGTACCAAAAAACACATTTTATAGAGAATAAATATAGAGTTTAATACTAAAAACAATAAGTAATTAATATAAAATGAATATAAAAGACTAATATAATGTCCTCAAAAACAGAATTGCCATCTAACTGTTTTTGATTGATCCAAATTAATAATAACTGTTTGACATCTTCAATTGTTTGCAATCTCTGTTTTGTTAGCACATTCATGTCTTTTGCTACATTAGCCTCCTTTATTGCTTTTTTTTTTGCCACAATAGAACTTATCGTGGATGGTGACTTCTTGTGCATGCAGCCAATTATGCTAGTTTTAATGCTGCTCTTTTTTTTTTCAATGATTTCTTTTAATTCAATCATGTTCCTGGCCTTCTTCTTTGAAGGGCTGCTGGCTCTGGAAACTTTCTTTGGTCTCATGATGGGGCTAAAAGGAAAGGAAAGCAATGGAATTATTTGGCTAGACGTGTGTAATGCTCACACAACAAGAAACAATGCCACACCTAGCAGGAAAATGTATGGGTCACCCTTTGTTTTTGCAAAATTAGCAGTGAAATCCCATGAGCATGCTGACAAAATCCGAAGCAACCAATGAAAACCAAGACAAATTTTTCATGGAAAAAATCTATGATAACCGAAGTCAACGAAAACCACAGTATTACTGTACTCTTGTCAAATATGATAAATATATTCTTTGGTATTAAGCATAAAATTGCCATGTAGAACTTATCGCAAGGGAACACTTTTGATGGATAATATACACTTAATTTTTGTACGAGAGAAATGCATTTTGGACTAGTTGTCCCTTTTCGGTCTTTATTGTGCAATTTGATAATTACAATAAGGAAGTTCAATTATTCTGTAGTTTTATCAAATTGTACAATAAGGATGAAGAGGAGCAATTAGCCCAAAATGTATTTGTTATACAAAATAGTCTATATTAGGGGTTGCAAACTGGCAATCTGCGAGCTGGATGTTACCCATTAAGGCTTCATATCCGGCCCACAGCCTTGACAATTTCTTTTCTAAAGATCAATGTTTCTAATGTATCGTGGAGACTAAAACAGAAAAATTCAAACATCGTAAAGGCCTGGTAACAAAAGGACATTTGTTAGAGCTTTTTTTTTTTTTAAATTATGGTATGTTTTAGCTTACCGAATAATATTGAATATGGTCTGTATTTGATATACATCTATTTAACTTGCCCTTTGCTTTGAGTTTGCGACACCTGGTTTATATTATTCATCAAAGTGTTCCTATGTGATAAATTCTACAAGGCAATTTTGTACTTTGTTACAAGCAGTGACGTAACAAGGGGGGACAAAAGTAGGCATATGCTGCCCCAGGTACCGATTTACAGGATGCCAAAATGAATCCATAGAATAATTTGTTTAATTAATCATGAATTAGGAGTGTCAGGTATGAGGTTTGTATTGGATGCCAAAACTGTTTGGCACAGCTCTGTAGAATCACTCTGCAGAATCTAATCTGACAGCTATCAACACACAATACTATGATGTCATGATGCTCTATTTATTTCTGGCTCAATAGTAATTTGTACTTGAGACAAAACTGATTTGTTTTCTCTTCTTTCAGAACAGCTGCCAATATAGTGCTGATACTCTTGTATGAACTATTCATTAACAACTTCAAAGTATATTTTAAGAGACTTCATTATATTTGGCTTATTATTTTTTAATTTTTCTCCTTTTGGACATTTTCAATTGCTCATTTTTTTCACTTGTGATAGTTGCTTCATTGCCTTATCCGTTGAGCTTGCCTGGGTCTACTGTACAGTTGTACTATTTTTTTTATTAAAATTTATCTCACCAATTCTACTGTTCTTACCTTACTGCCAATGGCTTGTTAAGCAATTGTCAAAGCACATCTACCCATTAATTCTCTTTGTTTATACTTAGGAGTCAAAGAATATCATCATTAATTTTTTTGGAAAGTCTAAATACATTTTGTGAATATGAATTCCAAGTAGATGTATTCTCTTTAATGAGATTTTAACTCATTACACGAGATTTTCTGTCATTAAATTACACTATTTTTGCTCGGTAACTTTATTTTATAAATTTAAAGTAATTAATTTAAAATAGCATTAGTTACATTTTTCAAAGGTAAGAAAAATGACAACTGTCAAGTGATAGAATTTAATTACACTGTAGTTGTGATCCACCTAGTTTTGTTGTGTGTGTTTATACATTCATAGCATAAAAAATTGTTTATGAAATCCAAATAATCAAATCATAGGAAGCAATATTTACAGGTTATTCACTTTTTTTAACCACTGGTACAACGTACAGATAATATTCAGTTGAATTTTTATAAGGAAAAATTTTCTCGTATAACATATATAAATTCTCAGTAGACAGACACTGTACAATTGCCACACTAGGTGTTTGAATACCTTTTTATTTGAACTCCAAGTAAAATTATATACAAATTTTCCTTGCCGTATTCTTTAGATTTAAATGTATTTCTATAAAAATAATTGATCTGTAAGAATCTATGATGATCTGTGAATATTAATTTACATAATATTCCAAGAATACAACTCTTACCGAAATCATAATTGTATTGTATTGGCATTTGGAAGTTAGTTCAGTACTCTGAGTTAAGTCATGTTAATAGTTAATAATGAATTTGGAATGTCTATATGATGAAAAAAAGAAAAGATGATTAATTTTTATTCCATCTTTTAAGTATCTTTATAATAATTCAATTTTTAGTAATCAACCAAATTCATATATTGTCTATTGCTCTCAACATGCTGATAGTTTAAAATAAAATCATATCTTATAAATTTAAAGAACTTTCAATTAGTAAAAATACAAAATTGCTTGCAACTTAAGATATTTTAGTTGAGACTACTTTGTTTTCATTTATTTTGGGTTGCCAAATATAAACAAAAATCAAACGTACACGATTGTGACGTTGTCGCAATGCCAAGCTGCAATTTTTAATAATAATTTTAATTTAAAAAGTCGTGTGACTTCTGATCCAGGCCAGAAGTTTTTATGTAGTTAATTGGTGCCTCTGGCTCCTAAATTTGTTTTATCTGGTCTCAATTTTCATCCCTCTAACTCTTTTTGAGATCGACAGACAGATGATAGTGGGAATGTATAGGTCTTGCAGCCCAATAAGTGAAGCTTTGATTAATCGATCATACTTAATAGCTGGATGTTTTGGTCTAAATCTATGTTAATTTTTAAATTATGAAATTTGGCTTAAAAGTAGACAGGTATGCCACTGTCTTGTATTAAGACTGTAAATTGGAAATTAACTTTGAAATTACTAATTGTAAAACAGGTTGGCGAATAAACACATTCTTTTAGGTAAAATTATACGAGTTAATTCGGTGATTTTCAACCTTTTTTTTTCCGTCACGGTACACTTTTAATAGTTTAAAAATTTGGCGGCACAATAACAATAAAATAAACTTATATTTTGTAAAAATAGCATACGATAATAAATTTCAATGAAATATAAAATGAGATTGCATTACGAAGCAAACGAAATGTTTATTTAATGATAAATTACAAATTACATCTAATGTGAAATTTGAGCTTGGTGTTTTTTGATAACTTTATTTATATTTGGGTGTAAAAATGATAATGCTAATCTCATATTGTGAACCAGATTTTAAAGTCTGGATCTTCTTTTCGCGCCCTAGGAAGGTAGAACCGATTGAATTACTTGTCCGACGTCGTTTACGTATGGGTATTCGCAGTAGCGGCACACTTCAAAAATCTCGCGGCACACTAAAATGCCACGGCACAGTGGTTGAGAATCACTGAGCTAATTAATTAT